TTTGTTTTGAATAGAAAAAATACACACCCAATGTTAAATTTCAAGGAGAATCAAACAATTAAATTAAATTAAATACAATTAAAATTACTACCACTGTTGAGTAGAAGATTATGTCTGACACCTGCCCTCCTGCTTACCTCCATTGCCAGTTCCTGGGCCTGTTTAAACATGTTCAAATCTTCTTCTGTAACAAAGTTCTTGCTTCCCACCACAAACAGATCTGAATTTTCTTGTTTGATGCTTATTTTGATTTCTGTACCTGTTGTTTAAAATCAGCAGAGAATTTCTTCACCAACATGAGGGCAAAAAGTGCCTTAAACTAACAAAATGGAACTTCTGTTTCTCTTTCTGGACAGTTTTCCTGCTTTCAAACCCTTGAATTTTCCATTGAGATAATACATCTATCAATTTTAAGTACCTTGACCATTAAAAAAACTCTGGGCAAATATTTAAAAGATGTTTAAATATTTTACATCTGTTAAAATGCTTATTACACTTTTCATGCTTCTACTGCTGTGAAATCCTACATATAAAAATGTATCATACAGTTGCATTAACCTAATCTTAAAAAGAATATCAAAAGCAGATTAGAAATAGAGGAATATATGGGTATTTTTACTTCATAAAGATATGTTTTAAGAAAACAAAAAAAAAAAACCAGAAGAAATAAATTTCACAATCGTACAGATTCAGCGTTGTGTAGCAGGATGCCGTTTTTCATGGAAGAAAAGCAAATGGAGGAGAAGGAAGATGAAATGCCAAAATGGGGGATCCTAACCATATGCCAAAATAGGACCATAAGCACAGAAAGGGCGTCGAAGGTGATGAAGTGGCTACCGATATGCAACCAGAAAAAGCGCCAGCAAAACCATGGAGAGATGAGAATGTGAAAGCCACAGCAGGCACATGACGACAAATGAGATGAGGCAGCATTAGTTGGGAAAGCGCTTTGGCAGGGTTAGTCAGCATTAGTTACAAGGTCAATATGCTCACTGCTTCCGATATAAGAGTGAAGTAAGAACAACCTGGGTGACAAAATAAGAATTTGGGTCTGGGAGGGATGCAGGTTTAATTGGGCGCTTGGACCTGTTGCTTACCATCATCCTGATCAGGCTTAATTCTTCCGGCTGCCAAGCTCCCCTTCCCTGGTGGCGAGGGGGTCCCCACCTGAGGGGTCACTTTATACTTTAATCTGCCTAGAACCACGTGCTTTTTAAGGAAGGTTGTCTGCTCGAAGCCAGCAATTGCTTTGAAAGCATGTCCTCTAGACACAGCCCACCCAGTGGTGGTGGTGGGAGGAGAAACCAACCTATCGCTAATCTCTTCCTTTTCACAGAAAGCAGGATTGGGCGCGGGCGCGGGAGAGAATGCTGCTTTACGATGCCAACGCTTGGGAGGGGCATAACATGGCTGCCCCTTTGGGCGCGACTGTCCCTGAGCAGCGTAAATATGAGAAAGTCCATCAAAAAGCTGGCTGTGATTAGGAAGGCCGCTAAAGGAGAGCGCGAACGGCTGACCGGAGGAACTCTGGGGAGAACCAGAAGAGATGGAAGTGCTGGATTTTTGTGAACCGGGGCTGTGAACAGAGGTGGGGGCCGGGGGCGGAAGTGAAGAAGGTTTTAGCTTTTGTGTGGTACCTGTAGCCAACACATGAGAAGTACAGGAGGGTTTCTGGGAGGCCATTTTCCTTGGACGATAATGCTTTGAAAAGTCAATTATTTCACCTCGTGATCTGCGACCATCGGGTGATGGTGTGAAAAACTTAGTGAGGCCATCAATGAGCCCCTGGGTTTTCTTGTTAACGTTAAGTGTAGCGGCAGGTATGTAGGTGGAGGTGATGGTGGTGATTTTGGTGGCGGTGGCACCAGGCCAGGTGAGGTCTGTAACAGCCAATCTGCTGCTTGAATCCTTCACAGATGCAGCATGACCAGATGAAGGTGTGGTACAGACTTTAGTCTTTTGACCCCTACCAGGTGACCCCCTTCCTGGGAATGCATTCTTGGATCCTTCCGCACTGGGAACAGACCTAGCAGAGAAAAGTGAAGGAAGAGGAGAACGGTCAGAGCAGAGAAACAACATGCCGTATCTGGGTGCCCAGAGAATCAACTGTTCTGACCCAGCCTTTGCAAGCAATGAGAAACCGTTTACTCACAACTAAAACAACCCCCATTTTAAAACAGGGCAGAAACAGACTTTATTATGCACGTTGGCTAGACAGAACCAAAAAGAATTAGTCACAAAGGAGCGTCTTTTCCCCTTGTGAAACAGGGCACGAACAGTCTCTGTTCACATGAATACTCCAGATTAAAAATGTCCTTCAATGATTGAGCCAAGTAGAAACAGCCCCTGTTTACATTGGCTGGGGCAAATTCACTACCTATTACCGTGTTTCCCTGAAAATAAGACAGGGTCTTATTTTCTTTTGACCCTGAAAATAAGTGTGAGGCCTTATTTTTGGGGAGGTCTTATTATTTTTGAGGTGCAGGAGGCGGCCAGCGTGGTCACCTCATGGCCTCCGCTGTGTTGCAATATTTTCTGGGAGGGCTTATTTTCAGGGATGGCTTATTTTAGTGTCCGCACTCAAAAGCCCAATTGGGCTTATTATCCAAGGAGGTCTTATTTTCAGGGAAACAGGGTATTTCCTAGCAAGAGACTCAGATGGCACCTCAAATATAGAGCAATTAGTCCCAACAAACCTGGTTATTCAAGTTGATTGATGTACACTAGAAAATAAATGGTTGTCTGCGACAACAGGCCACTCCCAAACCACTACTATTTATTTCCCAGCCAGGGTGAGGCTGGCTAGCATCTATGAGTTATTTTCCCTGAGAGCTGGCTTATTGCTTTCTGTTGCTCTCCTCTCCTCTCTACCCATACGTGCATCTGGGATGGGCCCCATCTGTTCCTCTCCCACACTCAGCTCAGGTCCCAAAGACAGCTGCGTTTCCACCTGGGGGCGAACAGAAGGCCCTGGCTCTGCATCTGCCTTTGATTCTGCTTCCTCACTCAGAGCCTTCCAAAGGCTCAGAAGCCAGCCCAGACTACTACTACTACTACTACCACTCCTCCTCCTCCTCCTCCTCC